ACGACAGTAGAAGTGATTTTTTTCTGAAGATAAGGGTAAACAACGCGATTTAACAGCCTTTGAACGTGGAATGATTGTTGGCACTCGGAGCCATGGAGCGAGTATCAGCAAAACAGCAGAATTCGGTAAATGTTCAAGAGCAGCTGTTGTTAAAGTGTTTAAAGACTGGACTGTCAGCCGAAAATCTGGGTCTGAACGTGCGAATTGTGTCCGTCAGCGACTAGTCAATGTTAGGGCAGAACGGAGAGTGGCAGGACTGGTACAAGAGAACAGAAGGGCAACAGTGCAGTGTCAGATTCCTCGCATCACCTTTCAACATCTTGTGGATTCACGAGGCCGCCCAACAAAGTCATCTCGTGGCCCAACGAAGTACTGATGGGGTGGTCATAATAATCTGGCCACTCAGTGTATATGTGTATAGAGATAGAGATACAATGAATATACACATATCCAGAGAGCATCAGTTTTTAGATGATACAGTCAAAAATTGTAGTGCGAGATCTATATGGAACTGTATCTGTGAAAAAAAACCTGTATGCATGTTTTATATGTATAAGCACCACGTAGACCAAAAATACATACATATAATACACAAGAACATTTTTCTTTAAGTTCCTAGGTGTTTAGTATAATTGATGACGACAGCTTACACATTTCCAGTTCAAACCCCCAGAAATTATCACTATGCAAATATAATATTAAAATACACTGGCTTAGCCAAAATCCATAAGTTACATATAGATAGAATTATAGTTGATAAGGCTGAAAAAGAATGATGTCCATCAAGTTCAATCTCTCATAACTCCTGTAGCCTTAGTCCAGAGGAAATATGTAAATGTTACCAAGTTTGAAAAGTAAAACTGGCATTATGAGGCAACAGCTAGCACACAACCTCAGAAGACAGAAAAACGAATGTTTTCATGAACAGTTCCCAAGAGCTGCACCACAGGGCATGGAAATAGGCATATAATGTTTACTCTCAGCTTATAGTATAATGTAGACAATTTGTGGACCCAAACATGTGTTGCATTTATGTATATATGTATATTTCAAAGAATATATATATATATATATAATCATTTTCTGTATTTATTAGGGCATTTTATTAAATCTTGGTACGAAGAGTCTGTGAAAACCCGCTGCTTTTCTTGGATTGGCTACCAATATAAAATATATTTTATGTGTGCAGTGCCACACTAACTTTGAAGTACTGCTCGGATTCCTGAGAATTATTTAAAGTTAATACAACAGTTATTGTCTTAGAAATGTCACAGCTTTCACTTTTTCATAATAATGAACCAAGAAAACTGCAGCTATTTCAATGTACTCCAATACCCAGAACTTCCCTTTTTTCTGGCAGACGGCTTCATTCTATGGTCCTCTGCTGCATGCAATACAATAAGAATACACACATATGTAACAGAAATAACAGATGTAATCTATAACCTCTTGCATTTTTCATCAAACAATTTTTCATAATATTACAATTTGCCATGACTAGAAACACCAGTTCATCCTTTCGACAGAACAAAAGCCTGCAGATAATGTGTTTATGTTTGCTATTTTTTTTCAAAACTGTGCTACTCAGATTTAGGATCTTACTCAATATCATTAAATCAGGAATATTTTAGTCATTCTTTCATTTTTAAAATAAGCTACTTACCTTTGACGGGCCCTTTTAAGAAATGTGATGAGTGGCTTTCTTAGCCACAAAGCTACAACAATGTTATTTGCAGGTCATGTCTCCAAGTTAAAAGGGTTAAAATCATGTAGGTATTTAACATAGGACAGCATATATATTTTTAAGCCATCTCCCCTACATGTGGAATATACACATGGGTATATGGATCACCTTGATCTTTAAAGTACCTGAATCCACACATAGCAACCTGTAAAGTTTGTATTGCTGTCTGTATTCCCTCTAGGTAGATTAACCCTCTCTTGTATAGTCCTGGTGACCATTATCACCAAGACTAAAGTTTGGGGAAAAAACTATATTTTGTGGAACCACAACAGTAATAGAGGGGAAATTAGCCAATGAGGACACTTGTTGTGGTGTCAACTGTCAAAGAGGTATTTTCTCATACTTGCCTACAAGACTGGAAGTAATTCTTAGACATTCAGGTTATATTGCCACCTACAGGAGGTTGGGACAAAAAAAGTTAAGCCAGCCTCTGTATAACTCCGCCTCCAATTGTCATGCCTCAGGTTTGTGAGCAAGCAGTACATAAAGCCAATAACAGGGGCCGAAAATTTTGGGGACATCCAAAAGCAGTCTAACTGAGGGGTGGGCAACAGCCACTTAGAGATTCAGATCAATTTACAAGAATGTCTGAAAGAATCAACACCTCAACAAAGTCTAGACAAAGCAGCATCAACTAAATATGGGAATTGTCACAACCCAGGGGGAGGGCACCGAGGTCCAACCTCCGGACCAGGACAAAAGTAACAACTTCTTCTTAAAGAATGATGGGCCTAAATAAGCAATGTGCATGCCTTGGTTCTTCTCTGTGTAGATATGTAAAAAAAATACATCCTGTTAATTAGCAGTGTGGAGAAACACCAAACATCCACCATAAGGGGAAAACAACAGGCTCCACATTAACTACCTGAACTGAAAAAAAAAAAGATGAAAAACATGGACCAACAGCTGGTCAATAAAAGGTGGTTAATATGAAGCAATGTTTACTAGGGTTAAGGCTTTGGGTAGATAACCCTTGACTTTAGGGAAAGGAAGCTTGGATAGACAAAGTATGTCCAGAAAAAAGACCAACCAGTTAAAAGCCAGAGGCCTAAGTTGAACCCCTAAACCCTACACTTCGGGGAGAGGGAGGTCCATATTAAGAAGGATGCTACTAGAGAGACAGGTAATCTCTAAAAGAGACATGTATGAATGTGAAATCCTTCTCACCTATAATCCAAATGCAGAGAGGGAAAATAAACCCTTAATCCAGGGAAAATAGAAGGTTAGTAGCCCTGAATTCTTTTAAACGAAAGGGTGGGGTGATCAACACCTTATAGCAAACTGGTATACATAGTTACCAGGACCAGAAGAATGATAAGGAGTCTATCCAACTCACACACATAGGTGTTTCAGGGCTATGCTAGCAACACTATAAACCGGCCTGACCAATAATTAAATATATGATTCTCGCAATTGTAAAACTTGGATGGACTCCGAGAAAATAGTTTTATGGTAAGAACAAATTTCTATTTTCTCTCAATCGTCCATTGAGGGACACAGCTCTAAATAATTCTGATATGTAGATACGTGCAAAAGCAATCCAAAACAGAGGAGGGGGCACCACAACAACTAGAAGAAACAGCTCAACAAGAATAGAACTATCAAAGAAATACTAAAACAGCTGCCTGGAAAAACTTTTTTGCTAAAACTAGTAGCAGAGGAGACAGAAACATCAACTTTATAAAATTATAGAAGACCAAGATGTTGCCTTGCAAATTTAAGCACCAGAAGCTTGATTTTGAAATGCCCATGAAGTACTAACTGCCCTAGTAGAAAAAACAGAAAAAGAAAAAAGGAGGAACTCATAAGCTTGAATGACATCCAGACCAATCCATTTTGAAATAGTGGATCTAGAAGCTGAACAATCTTTTATAGGATCTTCTGGCAAATGAAAAATCTGATGTCTAAAGGAAGCTGTGGCTGACAAACTCTAATAGCTCGCACAACTTCCAATCAATGAAGAGACATTTCCTTAGGATGAACAAAAGCCAGACAAAGTGAAAGTAAAACATTATCTTGAGATGAAAGGTCGAAACCACCTTGGGTAAAAAAGGAAACCTGCGGTCTCAAAACAACCTTTTCCTTATGAAGAACCAAATAAAGTTCCCTGCAAGACAAAGCAGACAACTTGGTAACCATTGTAGCCAAGGTTATGGCCACAAGAAAAGCAACCTTTTTGGCTAATAAAAATAATGAAATAGCTTGATAGGAAATAGGTTAAAAAGGAGCTTTTTGTAGAACAAACAAAACCAGGTTGAAGTCCCATGAAGGAAGAGGAGACCTAACCGGAGGAACCACACATGCAACTCTTTAAATAAACGTAGAAATCAAGGAATTGCCAGAAGGACAGCCAGAAGCCAGAGGACACTAAAGGACAGATAACAGATATCTGTCCCTTAATCTTACTGAAAGCTAAACGTTGATCGACCATCAGCTAAAGAAAAACAGGATATGCAATGCAGAAAAAGCCAGTGGGGAAAACCCCAAGGACTCACACCAATGAAAATAAGTCTTCCAGGTATGGTGATACATGTTATGAGTAGAAGATCCTTATGCCCATTAGGAACAACAGAATCAGAAATTCCCCTGTCTTTTAACGCCTGAGTTTCCACAGGCAGGCCGATAAAGCCAGGGACTGAGAATCAGGGTGGGAGACTGGTCCTGGAGACAAGAGAACTGGTCTATCTGGAAGAGACCACAAATTGTCTGCCAACAGATGAATCAGGTCAGCATACCACATACCACTCCCTGTGAGTCCAATCTGGAGAAATAAGAATGACTGGAACTCCTACATGTTCTATCCTGTGAAAGATGAGGTAACAGTGTCAGAGGAGGAAAGGTATACATCAGGTTGTACTGATCCCACAGAGCTATCAAGGCATCACCACATCCGCTGTTGGATCCCTTGCTGTGGATACAAATCTGTCCACCTTCTTGTTGTGGCGCTACACTACCCAATCCATATCCAGCGTTCCCCAAACAAAGTTTTTGAAACACCTCTGGATGAAAAGACCACTTGCCTGGATCCAGACGTTGTCTGCTGAGAAAGTCTGCCTGCCCGTTTTTAACTCCCGGTATGTGTACCGAGGAAGTTGCTGGAACATTAAGTTCTGCCCAAGACTGATAGAAGAATCACATCAAAGAAACAAAACAAACTAAAATAATAAAGAAGAAAAGAAGGACACATCCATTCTCCTGAGGACACCAAGTGTCCTTGAAATATATATATATATATATATCTATCTATATTAGGTACCTTTGCTTGTGCTGTCAGCACTAGTGGAAGAGTCACTGTCATTGCCATCAGGTGTCCTAGGTCTTACATGCAAATTCAATGAACGCCTGCTTCCCGTTGACAAAGATCTGCTCTTCTTTTCTTCCTTTGGTGGGGATGGTTTTAGGATGGGCTCAACAAACTGGACGCTTGGGCTGATGTTCAAGATTAGACAACAAAGACAATTATTCTGCTAATCATTTTCTTGAATTCCATTTAAAGAACATGAACACATCTGCTGACATAATGTGTTCTAGACAATACTGAATGTGTTTTTTTTTACCTTGAAATTAGTTACACTATAACTACTTCAAGTATAACATAATTATTTACACATACACAGATTAGAATATAAATGTGAAAATAAGATCATTGCCATTTTCTTCGCTGTTTTTGACACTGTTGACCACCCGCTCCTCCTCAAAAAACTCCACTCACTTGGCCTGCAAGGCTGTGCTCTTTCATGGTTCTCCTCCTACCTATCTAAGCGCTCCTTTAGTGTCACCTACAAATTTAACTCCTCCCCTTCTCTTCCTCTTTCTGTAGGGGTCCCTCAAGGCTCTGTCCTTGGACCCCTTCTCTTCTCTATCTACACCTCCTCCCTTGGTCAGTTAATAACCTCACATGGCTTCCAGTACCATCTCTATGCCGATGACACTCAACTATATATCTTTCTACTCCACAACTCACTCCCTCAGTGTCGTTGCGTGTCACTAATCTACTAACTGACATATCAGTCTGGATGTTGCAACACATCTTAACACTCAACCTTTCAAAAACTGAGCTCATGATATTTCCTCCTGCCAGTGCACCTTCGCCTAACTTTTCCCTTGAGATTGATAACACAACTATCCAACTTTCCCCCATGCCAAGGTGCTAGGTGTCATCCTTGACTCGGACCTCACCTTTCTTCCCCACATCCAATCACTATCCAAATCCTGCCGCCTACACCTTCGTAACATCTCCAAAATACGCCCCTTCCTCACCAATGAAACCGCAGAATTACTCATCCACTCACTTGTTATCTCTCGTATTGACTATTGCAACTCCCTCCTCATTGGCCTACCACTACACGGGCTATCCCCCCTTCAATCTATCATGAATGCTGCTGCTAGACTCATCCACCTAACCAACCGCTCAGTGTCTGCAACCCCCCCCCCTCCCCCTCTGCCAATCCCTCCACTGGCTTCCAATAACCCAAAGGATAAAAATTAAAATTTTAACAACCACTTACAAAGCCATCCACAACTCTGCCCCTGGCTATATCTCAAACCTTGTCTCAAAGTATCACTCTAACCATCCCCTCCGTTCTTCTAAGGACCTCCTGCTCTCTAGCTCCCTCGTCAACTCCTCCCATGCTTGCCTCCAGGACTTCTCTAGAGTCTCTCTCTTCCTCTGAAACTCTTTACCCCAACCTGTCCATCTATCTCCCACTCTGACTGCCTTTAGGTGATCCCTTAAGACTCATCTCATCAGGGAAGCCTATCCCACCTCAAACTAACTGCTCCACTATCACGTTCTCAAAAAATTCATCCCCACACAGCTATCCAACTCTCCTCATGTATCACATGCCCCTCCCTTTAGATTGTAAGCCCTCACAGGCAGGGCCCTCCTTACCATCTTGTCTTAAATTGTAGCGTAATTGTAATGTCTTACTTACATTTTAAAGCGCTGCACAAACTTAGGTGCTATTAAAATCCTGTATAATAATAATAATAAAACCCTTATAGCAACAATAAAACCAAACTACAAGCCATTCAAGAGTAAAAAATTAATAAAAGCAATGCACTGCTTCTCGTGTCTAAATGAGGGGCTATAAAAGTCTACTAAATTCTAATTACAATTAGTTTTAATAACATTCATGGATAATTGAGTAAAAATATTTAGAAGATTACAAGGCTAGAGCTACATGGGAGATTATTAGGAGCTCCATCAAACTATTAAAATCTCTATTTTTAATAGTTTATTCACCCTTTAGTGAATAACCCTGAATCTCTAACAGGGTTATTCACTAAAGGGTGAAGTGTTTGGAGAAGGCAGGAGAAGTGAACAATCTAGGACAACATAGCTGAACTGGAAAGTGAGCAGAATTGGAGAATTTTTCCAAATCAGCGATGTTGTCCTAGATTGCTCACTTCTCCTGCCTTCTCCAAACACTTCACCCTGTTGTGAATAACCCTCTAAGACAGGGGCGCCCACAATTTTTCACCGTTCGGAGATCTACTTTTCAAATGACAAGCTCAATGAGATCTACCAACGAAAAAACACCTGCATTCAGGAGGGGGTGGGGGGAACATGGCGGTGCATTGAAGTCAATGGCACCGCAGCCACGTCCCTCACCCGCAGTGCGATCGCAAAACGTGCCTGCGTTCCGGCCCAGTGCGATCTGCAAAAATGCTGCAAGCACTATTTTTGCAGATTGCACTGGACCGGAATGCAGGCAGGAGATCGCACTGCGGGTGGGGGGCATGGCTGCGGTGCCATAGACTTCAATACAACCCCACGCCCCCTCCTGCCCCTGAACGCAGGGAGTCGGCCGGCTTGCATTCTAGAGGCGCCGGCGTCCTGTTCTCCCGCGGTGCTTGTGTGGCCGAATGTGGCTGACGTTGCACACGGGGAGAGTTGTCCTGCCCCTTTTGCGCCCGAGGCAAGAAAAAAAAAACATGCCCCCCCCAACAGGCAGGTGACATCACCCAGCCTTCCCCCTCCTGTATTTTTTCTTTTTTTATTATTTCTTATTTTTTATTTAATTTTAATGTTTTCATTTTTTTTTTTTTTAACTGTTGGGGGGCTTCGGGAAAATATTAGGGGTCTAAACAGCCCCCTGATATTTCCCTTTTAAAATAGAAAAAGAAATTGAGGACACAAAGTCCTCAATCTCTTTTTCTGCAGCCTCTGTTCTAAATGAATGGAAAGCACAGAGGCTTCCCATTCATTCAGAAACTATTTACTATCAAGCATTTTCTAAATGGGGAGGAGCCTCTGTACGGAGTGCTACTCCCCATTGAGAATCTCATGAATGAACAGGAAGTTATGTAAATCACATCCTGTTCATTCATAACTGGGGACACATAGTACTGTGTCCCCAGTTTTTTACAAGTGTTTGTCCTGCAAAGAGGATTGGTACATATCACTGATATGTACCGATCCTCTGCCGCTCGGCCACGCACACAGGGGGGCTCAGCTTCTCCTCTGGATCTCCGCTGCTCTCCCGGGCAGAGGCAGTGGGGGATCCCACGAGGAGTGAGCAGAGCACTTCGGGAGGGGGGGGCATTCGGACGGAGCCGATGTCACAGCAGTGGCGGTGAGGAGAGAGCCGCCGGCTGTCAGATCCAGGCCGAGCATCTCTCTCTCTCTCTCCTCACCGATCGGTGTGTTGCTGTGATAGCGGCTCCACCCCCCGCCGCCTGCAGCGCTTTGTTCACTTCTTGGATCCCCGCTGCATACAGATGGGGGAGGGCAGCGGGGATCCAGGGAAGCCCTACGGCAGGAGGACAGGACATCGCAATCTACCAGGGATCGCTTTGCACCCCTGCTAATGGGCACCCCTGCTCTAAGAGTTTCACTTGATTGCTCAACAGATAGAACAAATGGCTGCTTTTGATATAAACACAAGGGGTGTGGAAATGAGGCACTATATCTTAAGCTATGTTATTCCATTGGCATGTGTTAGGGTTTGATTCAAATAGCAATGCTCTGGCTCAGACAGGTCAAGTACACCAGGGGGCTTCAAAGGGCACCCCGGTAGAATTCAAGATGGTTAGAGAAAAAAACAGTAATTGCTACACAAACGGTCATTCAAAGCGCTAACACGGGTTTTCCACAAAAGGTTGAAGAGTTTGCAGAAAGGCAGAAGGGAACAATCTAGGACAAAATAGCTGAACTGGAGAATTTTTCCAAATCAGCTATTTGGCCTAGATTGTTCACTTATTCTGCCTTCTCCAAACTCTTCACCCTTTTGTGAATAACCCTGTAAATGTATTAATCCTTAATCAGGATGACACAGGATGTTACAGCCAACATGTTTCCGGGGTTAAAGGAGTCCCCATTCACTAGAGATGAAAAACAACGGACAAGAATACATGTGCAAAATACATAAAATAAAAGTGATTGATTGTTAGTGGTAACTGCAGGCAGTTAGAAGCTTTTACAACAGCACAAGCTTTTTATACTTGCATAACTGTCCCCTTCACTTACTACCATTTGCTGTCCTCCCCATACTTAAACTTTGTGAATAAAAGCTGCAGAAGGAGGAGCCTGTGTATTAAGTACAAGGCAAAGAGGACAGGGCAGTGGCATAACTGCATCAATGCTGGTGTAGTCGAGGTCATCAAAATATGAGCTCTACTCCTTGCTATTGTTGTAGCCAGGGAAGCCTTCAGAAATTTCGGGGCCCCTTACACAACTTTAGGCCTGCCCCCCCAGGCTTTTTTACCCGGCTGTCCCATCGAGTCCCCCCCACCGGTCGTCCCTCCAGATACTTCAATGCATTTTTATTTTAGCACTGTTACAACTTAATATATGAAGTTGAAATTAGGGCTGCAGCGAATGATTAATTTGATAATCGATTAGTTAGCCGATTATTAAGTTCGATTAAAAAAAGGCTCCAGTGATGGACTACTAGTTTGTATTGAGATTGTAGTCCATTATAGGAGCAAGCTTGGAGCGGTGGAAGTGATAAAAAGTGTGTTGTGCAATATAGTACATTATACAGTGGCACAATGCAGAATACCAGCAGCTATAGAGGAATACAGCAAGCAGCAGTAGTCCTTTATACTATAATGTACTATTGCCTTATACTATACATACTATACATACATTATACTAGAGCTGTAACAACTATTCGACTTAGTCGATTAAAATCGACAATGGAAAACGTTGTCAATGTTTTCCATCGTCGATTAGTCGGCTATCAATTAAATTGCCTGTTCGGGGCTCAGCACACGAGCCGCGCATGCTGCACTCCGCGCACGCCACTGTCCAGCCCCCGACTCTCCTCCAATCCCGACGCTCCTTACATCTAGCCGGGCTGGTGCGGTCACATGACGGGTGTCGGGGATTTGAGCGCGACAGGTGTCAGCCGGGGGACGGAGACGATGGCTGGGGACGAGCTGGCATCCAGGCTGAACCGGCGGCTGCGGATGGGGGACCCAGG